TTCTTTTCTTATTTTTATCGAGTAAATATTTCGTAATACATTCGAGAATATGAAATTTCCATTATGTAAATAGGCTATTTCAATTTTCTGGTCTTGTATCTTAGATCCGTCGTAAAAACAATTTCGAGGGTATTGTTAAACGTAGAGGGATGAAAGGTAGAGAAAGGAGAGGTGGATGGTAAAGAATCGCTGACTGTCGATGTCGTTTAAACTTGAGTGCATAAAAGGAATGGAGGACCATCTTGGTGGAAATTTCTCCAGGATCTTGGTTACCCGTGTTGCCTCTCTCTCTCTCTCTCTCTCTCTCTCTCTCTTACTCTTACCTCTCTCTAGGTTCCTCTTCAAACTAGTTTACCCTGAGTCCGGGCAATTTTCCTGACTCTCGCTCGAGGTTCATAAAATTTATGCCAACATTTTGCGAGCTTTATACCGACTTCCATATCTATATGCTCGAATATATTTAGTTTATGTACGTACTCACGTACTCGTGGAAGCTTCATCTGTGGCACTTGTATGTTGACTTTGTTAGCGGACACACACATCTCTCTCTCTTTCTCTTTCACTTCATGTATATACTATATCCTTTCAGAAGAAGAGAAATAGTCTGCTGAACCAGTGGCGCAACTAAACTAATGTTGCAAGCTTTTAATGGTAGGACGGGCTGTTAAAAATCATTATAATTTTACAACCCATGAAGATTAAAATGTTTATCGTGCGAGACGAGTAATTTTCTGATTGAACTTTTGAGATAAAACTCAGGGGGAGGGGAAATATTTTGCTAAATTTAAAATTTTTACGATTCTATAATCATTTATGGGAGAATATTTGTCTCCTATATAGGGAAATTTTTAATTTAGTAAGAGATTGAATATTATATCGAGAAAGGGCCAGAATAGAAGACCATTGTCCGTCAGTGATCAGATTTAACGATAATGCCACATAATTAGATTCTACCGCTAATTCCGCGTTAGCAATCAAGGCATTATCAACGCTCGTAATTACCGACCAAAATTACCTGTTCTCTACAAATATCTCCATCTCCGCTTTCTCTCTCTCTCTCTCTCTCTCTCTGTATGTATACCCTTATCGCTCGCTTTATACGGTCACGAGCTTTCATATATATATATATATATATATATATACACACATCCCTTCGATCTTCCAACCGACCACAATTTTCTTTCCAATGTTGCCGGGTCATTCCAGTCTGGAATAGCTTCTGGATTTCATTGTACAGTGTTCCAAGATTGAATTTTCGTTTTCTTTCTCTAAATGCTATTTTTTGTTGCAGTCTTGTCCGCGCGAAAGAGGTTAACTCGTCGTCACTTTATTCCCCTGAGTGATAAGACAGAGAAAATCGAACACGTCTTCTAGTTATTGCATTTTCTACAATATATATATAGGTGGAAGTCGCATATCTATCTTCCCATGTTTCGAATTTGTTGAGTAATAATCACTGTGCGCCATCTGAGGATGGCGTCAGTGAACTACAAAACTATTCGAAGATAAAAATAAACCGTTTTATATACTATAATTCAAAATTTGTCGCCATCTGACGGTGGCGTCAGTGAACTACAAATCTATTCAAAGAAAAAAAAATCCCTTTTTTTCTATAATTAATAATAATTTGACGCCACTGACAGATGGCGTCAGTGAACTATAAAACTATTCGAAGAATAGAAAACCGTTTTTTTGTTATAATAATTGAGAATTTGACGCCATCTGATGGTGGCGTCAGTGAACTACAAAAAGATAAGATACAAATAAACCATTTTATACACTATAATTCAAAAATTTGACGCCATCTATCGGTGGCGTTAGTGAACTACCAAACTATTCAAAGATAAAATAAAGTTTATACTATAATTCAAAATTTGCCGCCATCTGTCAGTGGCGTCAGTGAACAATAAAACTATTCGAAGATTAGAAAACCGTTTTTTTGTTATAATAATTGAGAATTTGACGCCATCTGATGGTGGCGTCAGTGAACTACAAAACTATTCAAAGATTAGAAAACTGTTTTTTTGTTCTAATAATTCAGAATTTGACGCCATCTGATGGTGGCGTCAGTGAACTACAAAAAGAGAAGATAAAAATAAACCGTTTTATATATACACTATAATTAAAAATTTGACGCCATCTGTCGGTGGCGTTAGTGAACTACCAAACTATTCAAAGATAAAATAACGTTTTTTTTATAATTAAGAATTTGACGCCATCTGGCGGTGGCGTCAGTGAACTACAAAAGTATTCAAAAATAAAAATAAACTCGTTTTATCAGCAAGTGGCTGCAAAAAAAATACACTATTTTCATTGTGAATATTTATATGTTGCACTGAAACATGATTTTGACATATTAATTTTATTTATGTAGAAATATATATATATATGTATGTATTATATAAATGAATTATAACTCAACGTCTTACAGTGTAATCCGCATTGAGGATGTTGACTACAAAGTGCATCTTCACACTCGCGCGTCCTAATTGAATTATAAACGCATCTACGATCCTAATCCGCGTATTGCGGCTGACACCTTCGGTCGTGGCTCATTAACCTAGTCTAGATCAAGGCTTTCTAATTACGAGATTATCACTGTAATAACGCCAGAAGTCATATATATATATATATATATATATATATATATATATGTATGTCTACAATTAGGAAAATCTCACATCATTTTCTCATTTATGCTCCGTCAATCATAAATTAACGCCATTTACTAATTAAAATATAGTTTACTGGATTTTTTTTTTAAATATTAAAAAATCAAGGTAAATTTATTAACAGTATAATTAATTATCTTTTTAGTAGTTTTTCGTTTATATTCGACTTTAATAAAAATAAGTCACTTTGGACGCTAAAATTGAAGGTATTTATTTTTGGAAACGAGAAAAATTTGTTGTTTCTTTTTGCATCAAATTCCGTTTACCAAGCTCGTCGGTCAATGTCGAGGAACATTGCCATTATATAAAATTGTTTTTTTTTAAAAAAAAAAGAAAAGCTTATCAGTGAGGCTCTTGTTCTTTGTTTTACCTTTTTTTTTTGGAGAAAGAGAGGATCGATGTCGACACCAAGGCATTTGGCCATTAAGTTCCGCGCGCTGATGTCTCATGGATTGTGAAACCAAAAAAAAAAAAAAAAAAAATTGTACAAACGATCAATCTTATTGCAAGTCGAAGCTCTTCGAGAGTTATACGACAAGTGCATCGTACAAATCGAAGAATCGAATTTTAAAGGGGAAAAAAAAATTCTTTATAAACACTAATCGAAACAATTATTTTGTTTATATTGAAAAAGAAAATTTTTATTCAGTTTTGAAAAATTGAAAATTTTTTGAAATCTTTTTTAAAATTTTTATGCACAATATAATTTTTAATTTAAAAAATTTGGCATAATTTTTAAATTTAATGGTCAATAAAATTTTGGACAACAAATTTAGTTTTACAGATTTTCAAAATTAAATTTTTTTAAATTTAATTGTAGAAGATTTAAAATATTTTCTGTAAATTTTAACTGCTGTAGTTTTTTTTTTTTTAATTTTTGTCATCAGTTCAATTTTAAAGTTTTTAAAACTTTTTTAAATAATTGAAATTTTAAAGAAATATTAAAAAAAGTTTTAAATAATTAAATTTTGGAGAAATTACACTTGAAATTTTTATAAATAATTGAATTACAAAAGATTTTGTTAAATTTCAGACAATAATTAAGTTTTAGAAAATTGAAAATAATTTATCAAATAATTTTAATAAGTTTTTTTTAAAAGTAATTGAATTTTCAAAGATTTACAATTCAGATTTTTGGAAATAATTGAATTTACAGTGATTTTAAAATAAAATTTTTGGTAATTTCTGTTGGTAAATAATTTATTATAGAAAATATAGACAAAAATTAAATTACATAAATTTTCAATTCAAAAATTTTTTTCAGATAATTGAATTTTTGAAAAACATTATAAAAATCGTTAAAAATAATTGAATTTTGGAAGAGTAATTGAATTTTCTAAGATTTATGATTGAGATTTTTAAAAATAATTGTCCAGTGATTTTAAAATAAAATTTTTGATAAATTTTGTTGCTAAATAATTTATTACAAAATTTTAGACAAAAATTGAATTTCAATAGTTTTTTTTTTTTGAAAAATGTTATTAGATAATTAAATTTTTAAAAAATATTACAAAAATCATTAAAAATAATTTAATTTTGAAAAAGTTACAATTGGAATTTTTAAAAATTAAATTATTTTTGAAAATATTTGAACTTTATGTGATTTTTAATTAAAATTTTCGTTAATTTTTGTTGCTGAATAATTTAATAAAAATTACAAACAAAAATTGAACTTTAAAAATTTTTAATTAAAAAATAATTTTAGCTTATTGAATTGTCGAGGAATATTATAAAAATTATTAAAAATATAATTGAATTTTGGATGAGTTGTAAATGAAATTATTAAATTGCAGATAATTTTAGATGGAAAATTTTAGAAATAATTAAATTTTTAGAAGGAATTTTAGAATTTTTTAAAATTAATTTTTAAAATTTTTCAATTTTGAAATTGAAATTTTTAGTAATTTTCTTTGTTGATTTTTTTAAAAAAATTTAAATAATTTGTGAAGAATTTCAATAAAATTATTGTAAATAAAATAATAATAATTAATTAATAATTAATATAAAATTATTAAAATAATAATAATAATATTAATTTAGAGATAACAAAATTGGTTAAATTATTGAAATATAAAAGAATCATCATTAATTCTAAAGGGATCCCTAATTTCAATAATATATCCAAAATATTAGGATTTGACGCGACTTAATAAATTTTATTTTGGTAAGAAATGAAAAAAAAAAAATTTTCGAGAAAATTAATTAAATTATTAATAATAATTTAGTTAATTTATTTTAAAAATTAATAATAATAAAAAATATTAATTAAAAATGAATTATTACAATTGTAAGATTATTTATAAATACTTAATTTTTTTTTGATTTCAGGGAGTAGTGAAGAATCAAGAACGGGAGCAGGAGATCCCGGAAAATTAGGTGTTAAAAAACCAAGGCCAAAAGCATCTTCGCCTAATCGGCAAGGTCCACAACAATGTCAAGTAAGTTGAAGAAGAAATTTTAATAAATTATATGATCTTCTATTTCTCAAATTGTTTTAAAATTATTTTTTTACTTAATTTTCTCATCTAGTGAAAAGATCTAGAATTAGAGTTTTTTTTTATTCATTTAGTAAAAATTCCAAAGAAATGTCGACTTAGAAAATATCATCTAGAGGAATTAAATTTCAATAAAAAAAAAAAAAAAAAAATTATAAAATCAAATATGGATAAAAATTCAAATTTTCCTAAATCTCTGCAAAAATTTGCTTTTTCACCATTGATGATGGTAAACGTAGAATTAATTTTCAGTCCTGGCAGAACGTACACTCGGACGAGTGAATTAGAGGTTCGCCCATTGACCGCAAAGCTAGAGCTCCAAAAATGCAGAAAACTCACAAATTTCAGCTGTCGCCAGTAGTCCCTCTGTTCACTCACACATACACAGACACACCAATTCCCTCCCTTTTCATGGTTGAACGGTTGCAAAATCATCGGGAAGTTAACGAGTCTGACCTATTTTCACACCTCTCTATATCAAAAAAATTTTTATTTCCACCAATAATTTTTCATATCTACAGACAAAATTTTACTATAATTTTCAAATAAATAATAACTATAGTTACACATCATAAAAGAGAAGTTAAAATTATATTTATTTTTTTTATATTATATATTTTAATATATTTTTCATCTATAATAAATTTTTACAATATATTAAATTTTGAGAACATTTCAATATATGAACTTTATTGTATACAGCAGTTTAGTTCGTGATTGCTCACATCGAGCGCAAACTCCATACGGGTATTCCCCTATCAAACAAAGGGTTAAATGCTCCAAGCAAATGAATATTGAGAGAGAGAGAGAGAATTTCTCAACCGTAAGAGAATTAGTGATGGGTGGAACATTTCAAGATTCATAATTTTACCCCAAAACAATGATGTTGGGAATTGTATGCCAGGGATAAATCTACAAATATAGTCAGAAAAGTATAAAATGTAGCATTGTATATATATAATTTGTCAAGAATTGTATATAAGGCTTGGCCAAATATTTGATTCCTCTTGCTTCTCTGCAAATTCTGTATACCCGGAAAGGAAAAGGAGAATGAGGAAAGGGAGAGCTAATGCTTTTGCAGAGTCTGGCTATTTTCGCTTGCCTAAACAAATTTGTGTTAGGAGCCAATTAAAAGTCAATTCGAAGGGAGAGAGAGAGAGAGAAAGAGACGAACTTGAGGAAAGGTCGACATTTCTATCAGAATACTCGAGTTCTTTGAATTTCCTTTCCGCGCTTTTTTTGCCAATTAGAAATAAATAACCATTTTTTCGAATTATTTCTAAATTTTCATTCACATTACCATTTATATAATTAATTACGAGTTCTAATTTTTATTTCGAAAAAGTTTAAAGTTGTAGCTAAATCGGAGTATTCCTAATTTCTAATCTCTAAATTCGGAGATAAAAAATTCTGTAACAATTCTCTATAAAGAACCTAGAACCTTTAAAACACTTGTTTTACTATTTCAAAAAAATATACTACTCCACAAAAATATTTCCCATATTCCCAAATCAATTTTACTTTTAAAAAACTCGAATTTTTTTGGGAACAAGAGCAGGAAACCAAAACCATAAAACATTGAATGCACTCTAATGCATTCCACCCCTCTCATGAAAAATTTGAATCCCAAATGCACCACATTCCTTCCACTCCAAATGGCAGGGTGAAAAAAAAACCTCTCTTTCGTCAGAGAAGCCACAAACACAATGTTTATCATTCCTCCTCCTTTTTCCGTAAAGTCGCTCATTGTTCTTCTCAACGGTATATATAAAAAAAAAGGAAGAAGGAAGAGAAAAAAGAAATACTATAAAAAAGAAAAAGAAGAAGAGAAAAAAACAAGAAGATGTCCCTAAGGGAAGGTTTACGCACGTCGGACGCAGTGGATAACGACGGTCGTGACCCACTTTAACAGAACAATGCGACTCTCAAGCAGCTCCCAACAACGTCGTCGGCTCGTGTTTAAGCTTGGAATAGTAGTAGTAGTGGTAGTAATAGTAGGGTAGCTATGGGCAAAGCGACACGAGTATATACACAAGTACCTGTAAAGCAGAAGCACTGTTGAATATTCAACTCTAAGGTTCTCGAATCTACACTCAGCCGTGCTTGAACGCAACATCCGTTAGTTTCTTGTTAATATTGCCTGCTAAATTTTGGAATTATCCTTTCCTTTCGAAAGTCAAGTGAAAATATGGAGAAATTTTTCCGAACTGTAAATTATTGAATTTATCCAATTTAGAGATTAACAGTTGTTGCATTACTGTCACGATACTTTGATGATTGAAGCAGTTTTGATAAACGAACTTAATTAGACTTAATGTAGAGTCACTAAGTTCGACGCTAGTTTTAAGGACTCCGAATAAGTCTCCAAAAAGGCTGCACTAGTTCGGAACTACAGAATTAACAGTATTAATTTTTGCCAATTGGATTTAGCTTTAGCCTCCAAGAAGATTCCACTTGTCTTTAATTACAAAATTATTCAGTGACGGCAGAATTTTGGTATCTAGACACAATGTTCAGTATCAACTTCTGGCAGAATACTAATTCCCACTGGATTCAGGTTTAATCTCCGAATAATTTGCTTATGTCCGGAATTACAAAATTACTGATTCTAGTGTGTCATCAGAACATCGCGGAAATTACTGATTCCAGTGTCATCAGAACATCGCGGACTTTTTCCATTGGATTCAGCTTTAGTCTCCTAATAAGTAACATATGTCCGGAATTACAAAATTACTGATTCTAGTGTGTCATCAGAACATCGCGGACTTTTCCCATTGGATTTAGCTTCCGCCTCCAAGAAGGTTCCACTTGTCCTTAATTACAACATTATTCAGCTTTAGTCTCCGAATAATTTGCTTATGTCCGGAATTACAAAATTACTGATTCCAGTGTCATCAGAACATCGCGGACTTTTCCCATTTGATTCAGCTTTAGTCTTCGAATAAGTAACATATGTCCGGAATTACAAAATTACTGATTCTAGTGTGTCATCAGAACATCGCGGACTTTTCCCATTGGATTTAGCTTCCGCCTCCAAGAAGGTTCCACTTGTCCTTAATTACAAAATTATTCAGCTTTAGTCTCCGAATAATTTGCTTATGTCCGGAATTACAAAATTACTGATTCTAGTGTATCATCAGAAAATCGCGGACTTTTCACGTTGGATTTAACTTTAGTCTCCAAATAGTAGTATTACAAAAATACTATTTCGAATGTCGACAGAACATCAGCATCTAGAAAATGTTGGATACTAACTTCAGAATACTGATTTCTCCAATTGGATTCAGCTTTAGTCTCCGAATAAGTTGCAAATGTTCGGAATTACAAAATTACTGATTCCAGTGTCATCAGAAAATCGCGAAATTTTCCCAATAGATTTTATAGCTTCAGTGTCCAAATACAGGTTTTAGTTGGTAAATTAACAGATAAGGCAATATTCCAAAAATCTAGTAAACGAACTAAAATTGTTGATGCAGATTCAGGGTCCAAATGCCTAAAAATTGTACTAGTTACTTAACTAGGAACTATTCAACAAAGTAAAAATCTACGCAGATCGCAAAAAATTTCAGTTTTGTTTAAACCGAAATAGTTTAAAACGTCTGCAAAGTAATTGGAATTATTTTTCGAAAAGTTCTAAATCAATTAATGTATTCTCCCTTCATTATTTTAATGAAAAATTCTTTTACACTATAAATAAAATAAATCACAAAATAAAACCCCTCGTGAAAAATGCCAACAAAACTATTTGTCGATATATTTTCAAAATCAAAAAGAATCTGATGAAAAATATTTGGAAAATTTTTGAAAAATATTTCAACAATTCTAAGTCCCGACACAAAGAACATACACATTTTTTTTTCCTTTCATTTTAGAGTTCGTTCCATTTTGTTTCCAAATAATTTCAAGGTATGCGAGAAATGTACGAGTAGAACGTTATCTCGGAATTTGAGATTTGGATCGATTCTAAGGGTAAGTTTAGAATTCAGGGAGAGGAGAGTGAGAGAGAGAGAGACCTGTGTTGTTAGAGGTTCATTACGACTCGTGTCCTTCGAACTATTCCAGGAAGTCGCTTGGCGAACCAGCACCGAGGACATTGTTCTGTTTGATGTTGGAAAAGGGAACACTCGACGAATCTCTCTCTCTCTCTCTCTCGACCTTTCTCCTCTCTTTCACCAATCGTGGACGAGGCTGTGGTTAGTTTGACAGAACTAGAATCAGGAAGAAAATGGGTGGTACTATCTCCTCTCGGGAGAGAGAGAGGGAGAGAGAGAATGAAACCGAGAAAATAGAGAAGCCACTCTAAATTCGGATGGTTAATTACGAAATTCAATTCCCTCAGCAAGCGTTGAATCCTATATGTAACTACAGTTGACGAAATATTCCCATTTTTTTAAGTCACATATTTTGATTTTGATTATTTATAACGATTTTTTTTTATTTTCCGCTTAATAAATACATTAAAAAAAAAAAAAACTCGTCACTTGAATTGGAGTGGAAAATTTGGAAAATTGTATATCGTGTATACATTGCGTTGACAATTTATTTAAATTGGCCTCGTTAGATGCATCGTGGATCAAAGCCTTGATTTGAAGGACGAGACAGGTCGTTACCTTAATTAATCGAACCTTTCGCTCAACATGCTCGATCTCTTGCTTCTACTGTCCTAGATTTACTCCTCTCTCTCTCTCTCTCTCTTCAGTAAAAGACGATGGATTTCGAGAATATACTCCTTAGACACTGAACTAAAATGGACATAGTGGTTCCACTACGTCACTTGCATCCGTTTCGTGGGCTTCTAACCTCAACGCTCCTGACACTGCCCCGTTAATTAACCCAAAACTTTCGAGTAAGTTAAGTCCATGTTCTTGTTCGTTGCATGTTAGCTATTTTGTGTAAGGTTTACATAAACTTGTTTGTTATTTCCAAAAACTCATGGAATCATTTTCAAAAAGAGAGAATCATCAATTTTATTAGCTATTTCTGGTAACTGATGTTAGCAGGATGATTTTAGCTGCGGCAGCAAATAGTTGTTAGCTGGGAGATCTTATAATTTAGCTAAACTCTCAAATCGAACGCAAATTATTTGCTGTAATAACTAATGAATAGCTATTTCAATCGCGTTTATTTTTCTTAATTCTTTATTATACATTAGCTCAGAAGTTCACTCAAGAAATTTTATTTTAGATTCTGTTGCATAAAAATATCTTACTGAACGTTTAAACTTACTTTTTAAATAAATAAATAAATTTTTGGTTTGATTATAGCTCAGAAATTCACCTAAGAAAATTTATCTAAAATTCGGTAGGTTCACTGTAAAAAGAAAGTACTAAAATAGTACCGATTTTAGGTATCAAAATAGAACCAAATGACAATTTAGTACCTAAAATTGGTATTAAATTAATACCTTTCGTTTTACAGTGTAAAGATTACCTATTTTCTTTTCAAATTCTTGATTATATTAGCTCAGAAATTCACCCAAGAAAATTTGGTTTGGTACCGTAAATATATTCTACCGAACGCGTAACTTACTATTTAAATAAATAAGCAAATTATTGATTTGATTAGCTCAGAAATTCACCTAAGAAAACTTACCTTAGGTTCGGTAGTTAAAAATATCTTACCGAACGTATAAATTTACTTTTCAAATAAATTAGGCAAATTGTTAATTTCATTAGCTCAGAAATTCACCCAAGAATATTTATCTAAAATTCAGTAGGTAAAGATAACCAACCGGTTGCGTTTATTTTTTCAAGTTATCCCAATATTCCAACCTCAATCCCACCTCGGGAAATTTTTTTTTTCACGCTCTCGTCAGAAATGAGATACATGATTCTTATTTTTAAAATCCTTTCTTCTAAAAATAAAAATTAATTAATTATATACAAAGAAATTATTATTTTATATAAAAAAATTTTGTTCAAATGAATGGTTTATTTTTAGGTTAAGTGTGCGAAACTAAATTAGTTATATATACTTACATCACTTTTGAAGAGTTCGATTTATTCCTTCATGTTCCATTTTTGAAGAAGCTGCACAAGTTTTTTATTCATTATTTTTGAATAATATTTAATATTTACTTACTAAAATATCACTGCATTTAACAAAACTTTTTCACGATTATAACTGTCCATTCCTTGTGACGCGAAGTAAAAATATGGTGTCACACAGCTACGGGGTTTACACGCACGGTCCTGCCATATCTTTAGGACAAACTGCTAATTGATTTTAGCCACTGCATATTTGCTGCTACAGATAAATCAATTTTCATCGTCTATGCAATCATTTTCGAAACAGAAAATCATTAAACTCATTTTCAACATTTAAATAGTGAACTAGAAGTCTAAAATCTCGTTTCAAGATACTTAACCAAGTTCATTCTCTCCCCCATTGGATTTTGAAACTATGCTTCAAAAGAGGGCAAGGATTTGACAAGAGGGATGGTTTTAGGTGACAGTAATGATGTTTGCTAAGTTTTCTCTCTCTCTCTCTCTCTCTCTCCTTCTGTCTGATCGAAACATAGGGGGGACGAAAGGTATATTTAGGCATGCACCATGATGATGGTCCTGAGATGCCAAGGACATGACGATGTGCAAATTGAAACTCTCCTATGTTGGTATTCCTTCATCTTCAGCTCCTTAGGAGTTAAGCTACGCAAATTAGATTTTCTGCTTAGGAGTATATGTGTATAGAGAGTACGACGACTCCTGTGTAATGCCTTCATGGCTTCATACACAGACACACAGAGACAACATAATCCGATGTTCGTTCTCCGTGCTCTAGATACTGCACACCATCTCTTTCCGTTATGTCTCAGAAACCTCTTTGCTTCTTTTCCGGATATACCATGCTTGCAAGAAATGATGACTTCCGTTCATTAAGGATATGGTTGCCGTTGCTCATGGTCATGGCTCGTTGAACAAGAAATCTCCAAGGTTTACGACTTCTCAGTTTCTCGTAATTAGATGTGAAATGTTTTCTCCTTTTCTATTTTTTTTTTGTTTGTTTTCATAAAAGTATAAAATTAATTAAATGCAATCTTAATGTGTTGGCATAATTAAGAAATAATAATAATAATATTAAGGAATAATGAGGGTGATTATGCATATCTTGATATTGTAGAAGACTCCCAAGGGTAATAGAAAAATTAGAGGGCGTACCTTTTATAAATATAAAAAAAATAGGCGTGTCTTTTATAGAATCATTAAGAAAAAGGGCGTTCCTTATTATTGTAGCAGTTTAGATAGTGTACAATAAAGAACGTTATAACTGCTTTCGACTAATTATAAAACATAAGGACGTGGTTAATTTTAGAATAATTAGAAAACATGGGCGTGTCTTTTTGTAGGAGGTCCATAAATCATGATAATAAACAAGTAGGCGTAACTATTGCGAAATGAATAGTAGGTGTGTCCTGTCAGAAAATTTTTAAAAAAGTAGGCGTCGACAAATAAAGTAGGAGTGTATTGTGGAAGGAGCCTTAAAGAAAAGTGGGAGTGTCCTATTAGGCAATGTAAAAAGTAGGATGGGCTTAAATAAAAAGTGGGCGTGTCCTGACAGATAATGTAAAAAAATAGGCGTAAACAAATAAAATAGGACGGGTCTTAAAGAGAAGTGGGAGTGTCCTGACAGGTAATGTAAAAAGTAGGAGTTACAAAAGAAAGTGGGAGTGACTTATGAAACTATTATGGGAGGGGCTTAAATAAAAAGAAAAGGTGTCTTTGAAGAAAATGTTAAAAAGTAGGAGTTAACAAAGAAAATGGGAGTGGCTTAAAAGAAAAGTGGGAGTGTCCTGACAGGAAATGTAAGAAAGTAGGCGTTAACAAAGAAAAGTGGGAGTGTCCTACCAGGAAATGTAAGAAAATAGGCGTTAACAAAGAAAAAGGGAGTGTCTCTTTATTATGGGAGTGGCTTAAAAGAAAAGAAGGGAGGAAAAGTAAGAAATCAGGCATTAACAAAAAAAGTGGGTGTGTCATTTCATTGTGGGAGAAGTTTAACATTAATCTAGATGACTTTTTCTGTCTTGAAATAAAAAATTTAACCTAAAAATAATTTATGACATATTTATTTCAATTAATTACTATTTTAAATTTCCTACGTAAATTGAGCTTCAAAAAAAAACATGAAAAACGATTAATTGCGAACTGTATGTGATTATATAAATTAAACGGACTGTTAACAAAGAAATAAAAAAAGAAAAGGGAAACACAATAATGTAGTATCCAAGTCCAGGGAAAGTGGCTGTTATACGATCTTGGTATAACTGCCATTGCTAACTATAGGCTACGTGTATTTCGTCCAAGCTTACGACTGTAAAATCCAAGAAGTAGAAGCAACAACGAGTTAACGACATGATTCAATGGAGCAATTCGTTCTAGAGACCTGTACTCCAATTTTAATGTCTCAATTAAGTGTTTCAACTTTACGAGACAGTCTTGTATAATAATAATAATAATTATTATTATTATTATTATTATTATTATTATTATTATTATTATTATAAATATCAACTTGGACATTTGATGTAGAGTATATAATTGAAAGAAAAAAATAATTTATTTTTATATACTTTCTTAGAAAAATATTATTTACTTTTGGTAAAATTTTAGATTATCGATTTTGAATTTTTTTTTTCTATTCCTGTCGTTTTATCTGCCTTATATTCTCTATTAAATAATTCAATAAACGTACCTCACGTTTTGACAAGGTTTGACGTTATATGGACTTAATGAAAAATTAACTAATTATCCCTATATATATATATGCTTGAAATATTTATAATAAATTTTGTGAGCTTGAATTTTTTTTAATAAATATACATTTTCAAAATTTGTCAATGTAACTTGAAAATATAATATTTCAATTAAATTTTGTCACTATATTACTTGTTTTTTGGAATGTAATGAAACTATTTCGCAAAAATAATTTTAACGTTGTTGCTTTTCATAAAGTTTCTATATCCTTTTTAGAAAATGTCAAGTCCAGTTGAGTCACAGGTGTATTGGAAATTAATTTTATGTTCAACGTCGATTATATAGCCTCTTGAAGCTAACGCTGTTGAAGCCATTGAAAACACTTTCTATACACACACACACATATATTTATATATATATATATATATATATATATATATAGAGAGAGAGAGAGAGAGCGCAACTTCAGCAAAATTTGTTCTCGTTAATTTTCGCAAGCTAAATTAGCTTCTTGATACATTGAATTTTAATTCTCTTTAGTTTTAATTTAATACACTAATAATATAGAATTTTTTTTCTAGAAAAAATAAGCAATTGCGATAATAATAATATTAATAATAATAATAATAATAATAATAATAATAATAATAATAAAAATAATTATAACAACAATAGTAATAGTAATAGTAATGGTAATAATAATAATTGTGAGGAGAAGGTTAATTATTTCCTCTTAGATTTGTATATAATTGGATTCATATGAGTTTGTCACTTTCTCAAATTGAAATTAGAATTTTGAGATTGACGTGTATATGTATGTTTGCTTATTCTGTTTCAGGTATGTGGCAAAGTGTTCAACAACGCATCGGCGCTCACGAAGCACAAGCTGACGCACAGTGACGAGCGGAAATACGTCTGCACGATGTGTGGTAAAGCGTTCAAGCGGCAGGACCACTTGTGAGTTTAGAGCATACGTGTCTTTAATAATTAAATTCTGTCAAGTGAAAATATTCATAGTAATTTTACAACTTAAAGTAAACATTCTTTAATTTTTTTTGTGGAAAAATGATTTTTTATAGAAAAAAATATTTAAAAAAAAATTTTTTTGATGATATTGTTAAAATTTTATTTCGATCAATGTAAAAAGTCAGAATGAAAATCACATAATCCCATATTGAATGTAAATTGACTGGAAAAATCGTGAAAAGAAAGTTTTCTAAAAATATTTAACTACGGATTAAAATAATCTCCCCCTTTTGGGGTGTTAAAGAAACTATATATATAGAAATACAAAAAAGGAGAAATTGATTTGATCTTTGTAGCTTATCGACTGCTTTATATATATATATATATATATATATAGTAGGGCCATGACTCGACAAGTTGAATCTAAGATTGTAGGGCGCGTCGAGAGAGAAAGAAAAGCAGGTGGCGAACTCAGGGAAGCGTACTATTGGGACTAAGGTTTCAATTCTTTTCCTGGAATGGGGAAAAGAGAATAAAAGAAAATCAATAGTGAAGCCTGGAACTTCTCTTTGCGCTCCTGGCTTGACTGGTTAGACGACTCGTTGTATTTTCTTCAAAGACTCTCTGCGAGACTCTCAATTCCACATTGGCCAGCAGCTTCTCTACTCCTTACTTGGGGATTCAACTTGGAATCGGGTCCATTCTAGTTCGTCACTCCTTTTTCTTTTTTTTTACCTACGTGTTTCATTCTTTTACTTTTTTTTTTTTTGTTATTTTTCTTGGACTTTGGCACAAAGAATCGAGAAAGTTGACTAGGTACACGAAAGACTATTATTTAAACTTTAAATCCTCGATTTTTTTTTCAATAATTAGTCTTTTTTTTCTAAATATATTTTGGATTTTAGAAATTAGTGGTGGTTTCAAGTTCCAAAGCGTCCCGCGGGTGGCGCCACATAAGATCAGGCTCGTATCACTGTGGTACAGTGGAATTTCGTTATTTTATTAATTTTCTTAGAAAAAAAAAGAAAATTTTCGAAATTAACAAATGTAAATTAAATTACAAACTTTTTAAACTAATTGTAATTTAAATTTAAGCACATTAAATCACAGTTTCTTAATTCAAATTGCTGTTTCTCGAGAAGTTTTTTTTTTCTCCTCCTTAAATCTACATTTTCTTCGATTGCATTGCAATCGAGGTACGATTCTCCGACTAATTCTCCACCAATACTATCTGCACGAAAACTTGGCTAAATTAGCTTATACAAGTTTTAAAAATCCCAATAGTTTTTCGATGAAAAATTTCAAGTGAATTTTTACCTCGGCTTAATTGAAATTGACTTTATTAAAAACTTTTCTATACTTTTAATTAATAGATTTTAAAAATAATAATTTTTTTTTTAAGGTAGAAAAAACATTTACGATTTGTTTTATACTTCTTTAATCTCTGAAAAAAGACTCACCATCTCAGAAGCTATATATGGGCTCTAGTTAATGACGTCGTTCACCGCGAAACCCATTTTGGGATTAATGCAATTATGACGAAGTTACCAACTTCCTAAAACCCTCTCTTCCAAACGGTGAATTCTCTGCGCTTTGTCTGGTCGAGTCTGTCTCTCTCAGTCTCTTTCTTCCTTGGCCCCTGATGAAATTGGGATGGCAACTTGTTGCTCTCTCGAAAGACATCCTCTTCAAAGTAAATCTTCATCGTTTCGAAAAATTAAAAAATATATTACTAAAATTTAAATAAACTAGTGTATTTTTCTTGGTAGTTTTTTTTTTATTAGCAAGAAAAATTCAGGGAAAAATTATAGAAACTTGTGTGCACATAACTCATTGCTTGAAACTAATGGAAATAAAGATATAGTAAAAAAAATGAGGTACCAGCTAATTAAAAATTTAAAATAAATATATTTTACTAACGTATATTGATAGTATGACAATAATAGTTCACTGACGCTACCGCTAGGCGGGGCATCGAAATTTACGTTTTTTTATTTGCCTGGTTAAAATTTAATTTTTGTTTATAAAAACTTGTTAAATTTGACAATTGAGAATAGTGAGCTTTAGGTTAAATTAGTTTACTGACGCTAACACTGGACGGCGCGTCGATAATTACTTCTAGTTTACTTTGTTCAACAGTTTGAATCTTCGTATTTCATATTTTTTTGCTGCAAAAACTACGATAACTTCGACTTATGTGGGATTTTTGCTTTTCAGTTAGGATTAGTTAACTGATGCTATCGCTAGATGGTGCTTCGAAAATATTTCTAGTTGTTTGTTTTGCTTTCGTATTTTATTTTGTTTCCGTTAAAAACTATAGTAAATTTGACTATTTTGAGGTAGCTTCTCTTTGATTAGGAATAGTTAACTGACGCTACCGCTAGGTGACGCATCAATATTTATTTTTTAATTTTGTATTGTTTTACAGTTTGACTTTTCAAAATTTTTTTTTGTTGCCAAGTGAAACGATGTGAATTCGATTTTTAACGAATGGCTTCCTGTCGATCATGATTAGTTCAATGACGCCACCACCAGATGGCGAACTGAAATTCAGTTACAGTGGTTTTTTTATTCGTCTGGTTAAATATTGCTCTTTCCTTTGGTTTGCGGGAAAAATTACGTAAATGAGAATGTTGAGTAACAACGACGTTTTTGATGACAATTAATTCACTGACGCCTCCGCTTGATGGCGTGGCAAAATCTATCTTAAGTGGTTTATGGTGTATTTCAGTTTGAATTTTAGGTTCTTTTTTCTGTAACTTTGAAAAAGGAGATAAATTCAACTTTTGGTGGGTGGTGGCGTATCAGTCGCGAATTAGTTCACCGACGCCTTTGCTAGATGGCGTAGCGAAATTTGTCTCGAAAGACATCCTCTTCAATGTAAATCTTCATCGTTTCGAAAAATTAAAAAATATAACTGAAATTTAAATAAACTAGTGTATTTTTCTTGGTAGTTTTTTTTTAAATTAGCAAGAAAAATTCAGGGAAAAATTATAGAAACTTGTGTGCATTAATTTTCTTTAAAAATAAAACTATTATTCGAAACGATCGTAAATTTTCCTTTTCAACTTTTTCTTTTCTAACTTTCTGCCCCTTTAAAACTTTGCTCCCTTTTCAACTTCCCTCTCCTTCTCTCTCTCTCTCTCTTGTCCCGTTACCCACTGCTTTCAACTGGCGCGTTAAGTGCAGACTTATCTCTTTAACCAAGTCTCTGGATATCGGAAAAGGTCGGGTGAGGTTGCCAAAGTGGGTTGAAAGGGGGAGAGGGGTGGTGTGTCAGTTTAGATGCTCTCTCCGATATCGAGAGCGCAGGGATTTCCGAATGGAATAGATCCACACTGGAGATAGTAGTATATATTCCACGCGACACTGTTTCAGTACAACTAATTCCAGTAATCCTCGAGTACTCGAATTTCAAAACATTCCTCGGCGGCAAAGGGAAAGTGAGAGCTTTTCTCTTAAGTGAATACACGCCTGTTAATCCTCTTTGACCATGAGTGACGAATATTGCTCGAGGTCCTTTGTTTAACCCTTGAAATTGACACCCATTTTTTTTCTTGTTTTACACGAAAAAAAAATGATGAGATTAATTAAAATAAAATTTATTGTTTTTTTTTTGCAGGAACGGACACATGCTGACACATCGAAATAAAAAACCTTACGAGTGCAAAGCAGAAGGCTGTGGAAAGTCATATTGTGATGCAAGAAGTTTGAGAAGGCATACGGAAAATCATCACGCCGGAAGTAAAGTTAATGAGAGTATTAGTCCAAGTAGTCCAACAACTGGACCACATACGCCAAATACACCAAATAGTAATCCAAGTACTCCCAGTACACCAGGTGCGCCTAGCAATCAAAATGGCCACGGACACACTGCACTTAAGCAACTACTTTCCTCGGAGCCTACACAATCACAAACGCACAAGGTAGGTACAATTAGAAAAAGGAGTTATTAAAATAGAATTTTTTTTTCAATATTTGTACTATAAGAAATCATTTAGAAGAACTTTGTCAGTCATATAATTGTTCTCGTTACTAAAAAACGCTTTTTCGTGGCGCCACCTGGCGAACGCGTGGGGTAACTACGAAGTGCAAAGCAATTATTGCTTTCTTAAACATCCGCGAAATCACCTTAGACTGGAATGTGAACTAAACTCTATTTAACTATTTGTACCACTGAATATTAATTTATTTTTCCTGGTAGTGGCGCCACCTGGCGAACGCGTGGGATAACTATTTAAAAATATATTTACATTCCTAACGTACCTAAACTTCACTTGAATATAATGGACAAAAGTACTTCCAATTAATTGTTTTTATCGCACAAAATTATTAAATACATACCAGAGGCGCCATTTGATTGTCTTTAATTGGAATATTTCCAAATTCTTTTTATGCAGAGCCAATCAAAATTAGTGAAATTTCTTAAAAATTCCGAGTATACTCAGAATTTGTAAGGTGTACAAGCGCCTTTATCGTCCGCTTTATTCTAACTGAAAATGTCGCCACCTGGCGAACGCGTGGGTTAACTACTTGCAGTGAATTAAGAAATATAACTTTTAAAACATCCTAGAAAAGAATTTAGACTTTACATGTATATGAATGTACTAAAAATTCTCAATTTAATCAGAATTAATTGGATTAATAATTTCAACTGGCGCCATCTGGTGAACGCGTGGGGGAACTATTTATGAAATTCAAAGATTTAATTACTTTTAAAAACGTCCATAAATCATTTTTAAAATACACATGAATAAACGGAATAAAAATACTCCATTAATGTTTCAATGAAAATTATTTGCTACTTCTTTGTTTGAAATAGCGACACCTGGCGAAAGCGTGGGATAACTATTTAGTAACTTTTTAGCCTTAAAAGCGTCTCTAATTTTATGTTTATATAACCAGCAGTCATTATTTTAAAACACTCATTGGTATCATATTGGAATATAATTTGCTTAATTGAAATTTTAACTTGTGCCACCTGGCGAACGCGTGGGTTAACTATTCAATAAATTCAAAAATATATTCACCTTCCCAAACGTCCTTGAAATGTTTCTAAAATATACTCGAAGCAATGAACAGAAAATACTTCCTTTAATCATATGCATCACTTACAATTATTTGCTATTTCTAAGTTCAAAGTAGCGCCATCTGGCAAAAGCGTGGGGTAACTACTCCGTAATTTCTTAGCCTTAAAAGTGTCTCAACAATTTTTAGACAAACAGTATAAATTGATAGCACTCATTTGTATCACCTTTAAATAGGGTTTGCTTTATTCTAAATTGAAGTGTCGCCATCTGGTGAACGCGTGGGTTAACTATTCACTAAATTCAAAAATATATTTACTTTCCAAACGTCCTTGAAGCGTTTCTAAAATATACACAAAGTAATTAACAAAAAATACTTCCTTTAATCATATTTATCGCTGACAATTATTTATTGTTACCTAGTTCAAAGTAGCGCCATCTGTCGAAGACGTGGGTTAACTATTCCATAACGTTAAAAATGTTCCCTAAAATTTTTACACATAAACAGTATTCATTAATTGATAGTACTTTGTACCACATTTAAATAGGATTTATTTTATTCTAAGTTGAAGTGGTGCCACCTGGCGAACGCGTGGGGTAACTATTCGTAGTAGTTTGAGAAATATTTGTGCTTTTAAACCGTTTATAGAATATAGAGAACAAAAACAATTTTTATAATTTGTGTCACTGAAAATTGTTCCACTTTTTCATAACTAAAAGTGGCGCCATATGTCAAATTTTTTACAACCGTTCAAAATGACCATTGAATGTGATTTCAAGCAAACAATGTAATATCAACTTTTCTAGTTTTGTACTACAATGTTCCTCTGACATATATGAGAGCTTTTCTTCGTTATTGACTCTGACCAAAAGGGCAAAATCCCAATGGTCAAGATTGTCGATAAAAGCATACAAGAGAGAGTAAAGGAGAAGGAAAACGCCTTGGAAATTAGTTCTGTGCCGTAAAAGCAGAGAATTATAGTCGTTTTCAGAAACGCCGAGGTTCACCAATGAGAACATGAAGCATACGTTTGCCAAAGCCCAAGAGAGAGAGAGAGAGAGAGATGAAATTTTCCCTGGTTAGGGTTTCGCGTTTAAGAGTTGAAAGGCAAAGGAGAGGGCAGTTAAAACGGAACTACGAATCTACGATATTGAGTTAGAAGTAAGGCGAGCCTTGAAGTGGGGTTAATAAAATTTGATGACCAGGAACTTCGTAATGAGACGGAAATGTGGAAAGGGAAACTTGAGCTATGAAAACTTTTCAGACGAGACCACACTCTACAGATTTATGGTGTTTCACTCAACCTTATAAAAAAAAGGAAGAAAAGAATCCCTCAAAAACCCTTAAAAGCATATTAAGCTTCCTTTCATTAGGCTTTTTAGTTACTTAATTGCTCTTAAAGGAAAAAATATTTTCAATTAATTCATTTTTTACCAGTTCTAGCGATAATTGAAATTATAAAAAATTATTATTATTCAGAATTATTTATTAATATTGGACTAACTAGTTTTAATGGTTAATTAGTTTACCAACGCTACCGCCAGGTGGCGCTGGAATATTTAGACAAAAAACAAAAATATCCAAATGATTTTTTGCGCTGAACAAATTTTGTCTTAAATCAAATTGAATGAGGTAAAACTAATTCTAATTATTTTTGATTTATTTCTTTAACATTTTTTTTTAAAAGCACAATTTTTTTTTCCTTTGAAACTATATATATATATTCCCAGAGGAAAACTTTCTTTTTCCTTATTTCGAGATTTTTTTTCTGATCGATTCAACGATAGAGAGATAAGGGAATGGAGAATAAAAGATGTGGGAGTTTAAGAGCAAAAAAGTCGTGCTATTTCTTATTCGGGTGAATACCGATTTAAATCTAAGCGAACCTTGGAAGTTTTGATTATCACTTAGTTGAATCGCCTTGAAGAGTGTGTGTGAGAGAGAGAGAGAGACTGGATCGGTCCTTTTTGGAAAATGGAGATGTGAATATAGAGGTCAATTTCAGGTCGTAAACAGATCCTGGAGTACACTCTGAAACATGAATCCCATGGATTTAGAGAGAGATAGAGAGAGAGGAAATGTGTACTGGATTGCATGCACTTTACTTCCTAGAGAAGTGCGCGCACCCTCGCATGATAGAGATCAAATCCGAGGTTAGAAACTTCAACTAAAAGTACACCGTTTTACTAGAGGACTTCAACAACAAGGAGGAATACGATTACAAGGAGCACAGCCTCAGCCTGTGCCGTGAATTCAAGGAAGTCAAAGTTTGCAAATTACGTTGGCTTGAGCTTGTGTGTGTGTGTATTTACAATGTTAGTGCTCGAATAAGACGAGAGAGAGAGAGAGAGAGAGGAAAGGGGCAACAAAAGTCCTCTCCTTCTGATCAGTGAGATTTACTTTTTTTTTTATTTAGAGATGCAGAATATATTTTTTTCTTTGAATCTACACGAGATGGCACGAGGTTTTACGGTAATTAAACACAAGAGTTACACAAAAAGAACATTTCGATCTTGGACCGAGTACATTTAGCCTTGTGATGGCGCGGGGCAATTTTAATTTAAGTCTCATAAAACTTTTTAAATTAACATCTAGACAAACGAACAGGATATTTACTTTCGAAGAAAAAGGAATTTAAATAAATTGCTTGAAACTAATGGAAATAAAGATAAAGTAAAAAAAAATGAGGTACTAGCTAATTAAAAAGTTAAAATAAATATATTTTAGTAACGTATATTGATAGTATGACAATAATAGTTCACTGACGCTACCGCTAGGCGGGGCATCAAAATTTACGTTTTTTTTATGTGCCTGGTTAAAATTTAATTTTAATTTTTGTAAAAACTTGTTAAATTTGACAATTGAGAATAGTGAGCTTTAGGTTAGATTAGTGTACTGACGCTAACACTTGATGGCGCGTCGATAATTACTTCTAGTTTACTTTGTTCAACAGTTTGAATTTTCGTATTTCTTATTTTTTTGCTGCAAAAACTACGATAACTTCGACTTATATGGGATTTTTGCTTTTCAGTTAGAATTAGTTAACTGACGCTATCGCTAGATGGTGCTTCGAAAATATTTCTAGTTGTTTGTTTTGCTTTCGTATTTTATTTTGATTCCGTTAAAAACTATAGTAAATTTGACTATTTTGAAGTAGCTTCTTTTTGATTAGGAATAGTTAACTGACGCTACCGCTAGGTGACGCATCAACATTTATTTTTTAATTTTTTATTGTTTTACAGTTTGACTTTTCAAATTTTTTTTTTGTTGCCAAGTGAAACGATGTGAATTCGATTTTTAACAAATGGCTTCCTGTCGATCTCGATTAGTTCAATGACGCCACCACCAGATGGCGAACTGTTCAGTTACAGTGGTTTCTTTTATTCGCCTGGTTAAATATTGCTTTTTCCTTTTGTTTGCGGGAAAAATTAAGTAAATGAGAATGTTGAGTAATAACGACGTTTTGATGACAATTAGTTCACTGACGCCTCCGCTAGATGGCGTGGCGAAATCTTTCTTAAGTGGTTTATGGTGTATTTCAGTTTGAATTTTAGGTTCTTTTTTCTGTAACTTTGGAAAAGGAGATAAATTCAACTTTTGGTGGGTGGTGGCGTATCAGTCGCGAATTAGTTTACCGACGCCTTCGCTAGATGGCGTAGTAAAATCCATCTTTAGTCGTTTACTGTGTATTTCAGTTGAAATAGGACCTCTTTTACATAACCCTGAAAAACAAGTTAAATTTAACTTTTGACACAAGATGCCAGTACGCTCGCGATTAGTTCACCGACGCTTCCGGTAGATGGCGTAGCGAAATTTATCTTTATATTATTGTGGTGTATTCCAGTTTGAAATTGTCCTTTTTTTCTGTATCGTTGAAGAAAAAGATTAATTCTACTTT